TTTCTGGCAAATTAAATTTGTTAAATTTTTTATGTTCTAACTAAAAATTATTTTTAATCATTAATTATTTCATTAACCAAAAAAATTACATCTTTATTAACAACAAATTCATTATTAAACAAAACTATTAAATATAAACTAAGCAAACGTGCATTGCACATTGCTTACACCTAGTATATATTAAAAGTGTGTATATCTAAAATTGATTGAACTTAGAGCATAACACTTACAAATTCTCCATTAGAGAAAGGGTAAACATCACCCAAAAATAGTAATGTAGAACTCAGAAATTTAAGCACGAATCAGGGCTTGGAAACCAGAGATACCCTACAAAAATTTACAGACTTAAAAAAAGTGTCCACTGAATTTATTTCATCTACAGAGTCCGTACATAAATTACGAGAATTTTAGCCAACATTCCGTTCCACAGAATCCACAACCAAGTTAACGAAAGTAACCGTAGAGCTCAAAGAAGCAAATGCAAAAGCTCCACGGGTTGGCAACATCAGTGGTAGGTTCCGTTAAGACTACTCTAAAGAATCTGAACGGAAGCAAAGCGTTGGGACCAATAATCGGCCATGATGCAAATTGACCAGGTTTGCATATCGTTTCATCATTCTCATGTACTCTCAAGTTCGACCAATTCTTGCCATCCAATGAACCCTGCCCGACCATAACACGTCTTCATCAGAATGGCAAAAAATAGTATTATGCAAATATGAAATAGAGGTGTAAATATGGAGAGGGCAGTCCGTCGTATCAGGCCCCCCTTACATGCCCACGTGCCCAAAAGACTGAGCTTCGATCATCGCGGGCTCAGCATGTGAAATGGCCGTGCCACCCTTTCTAAACCTCTAGTTATGAAGCAATATACATTTAAACATGTACTTTACCTGAAAATTCCAACACCTTACAAAAGTTCTAGATCCGTCCTGCCTCAGCGTGTAATAATTGCACATGAGCTGCATCAATTTAATCAATAAATATCGATCAGAAAATTGTTCCTTTGTACATGCATGTTTGTAGGTAGTATTAAACACTAGGATGAACAAGAATTTAATTTTTTTCTATTCTTTAATATTGCCCAATACTATCAAATCTTCCTACCAAACATGCCACATTAGAACTATCCGAACCTGATGATCGTGGCCTATATCAACCATCCACCATGCAGTGTTTCTCCCATCCTCGACTCGAGGCCCGGCAAAGGATGTGCCCTAGTACAGAATAAATATATTTCATTCATGTTCTAACAAGTAAAAATGTTGAAAACTTAAAAGCATACCTGGTAAGTCCTCGAAACCAAAACCTTAGGGTCGGTGTATCTTGAAACGGGACTACTTGCAGTAATGCTTACTCTCTGAAATATTACAGTTTTGTTTTAGTGCAAGGAACAATTTGATAATTCTACACGAAACAGAGTAAACAGACTTTTATAAGTTTACCTTAGACAAAACCGGATTTACCCATCGGTGTTCCCCATATGATGTCCCCGCAAAATACAACAGTCCATTGCTGTCTCCATCACATATGAACTGGAGCTCCCGAAAACTCGATCTCCTATGTTGAAATCTGACACTGCAAAGTCAACCAGCATTTGTAGTTGATCACCAGAAATTTACATATTCAAGGTATATGGAAAAGAAAA